TCAGAGGAAATCTTGTGGAGGGAAGAAAACCACAGGAGAAGGAACTAGAGAGACAAGCAGGAATATATAATTTAACAGAAATTACATTAACCCCAATAGATATACATGCACTAAAAAAGGGCTTAAAATTTGCCCCAAATAAAAATATTAATCATTTTGACACCTATGTGGACCTCCAAAAATATATAAGAAAAATGATCCTCAAAAGATGTTTTCTTAAACAAGAAAGAGAAGACATTCCATTAACTTCAGACATAGATATAATACAAAAGAAAGCGTTCAAAAATAAATCTACTTTTTATCCAACACATCTAAAAGGTTCTCATTTAGAGACCTTTAATAATATGGTAATTGCAGATTTAGAACAATTAGAAGTCAATTTGAATAAACAAAAGAAAAATAAATGTAATCTTAGTAGAGAGGAAGCTAATAGTATAAGGAAACTACAAAGTATGGAAGAAATTATCATCAAAGAGGCAGATAAGGGAGGAGTAATAGTGTTAATGACAAAAGAATTATCTCAAAGAAGACGGTAGAATTTTGGGGATTTTCGGTGGATTTTAATTTTGAACTAGAATCCTTATTACACTTTGAAACCCAAAAAAATATCATCACAAGAGAAAATGCTCAATACCTTTTTAATAAGTATCCAGTAATCCCGATTTTTTTTTTTTTAACCAAAATTACATAAAAATCCTGTTGAACCCCCGGGAAGACCCATTATCAGTGGGATAAATTCAATAACTGCACATTTATCAGAGTTTATAGATTATCATTTACAAAAATATGCACAAGAAGCCCCTTCTTATATATGGGACTCATCCCATATTTTAGAAATCCTTGATAACCAACAATGGAATCAAGACAATATATGGGTCACGATAGATGTGACATCTTTATATACTGTCATTAAACATGAGGTGGGTTTAATAGCAGTTGAAAAAATGATGGGAGAAGATAAAAATATGCCAAGTTCTCTAAAAAAACTTTTTATTAAAAGGTATATATTTCATTCTTCACCATAATTATTTGTATTTCAATGAAGCTTTCTACCTTCAACAAACAGGTACAGCTATGGGGACCAGGTTTGCCCCCAACTATGCCGACATTTACATGAGAGATTGGGAAGCCAACTCAGTATGGAGGGGGCATAGCTGGGTTGCAAACCTGGTCCTATGGAAACGTTTTATTGATGACGTTTTGTTAATTTGGAGGGGTATACAGCAAGAATTGGAAGAATTCTTGCACTATATAAATATTAACAATTATGGTTTAAAATTCACCCACACGTATGATACAGACAGTATTAATTTTTTGAACAAAACTTTTTTTGTAAATCAGGGTATAATCCAATCGAAATGCTATTTCAAAGAAACGGAAGGAAATAGCTTCATACATAAAAAAAGTTGCCATCACGACAATTGGCTTAATTCAATACCAAAAAGTCAACTCACCAGAATTAGGAGAAATTGTTCAAAGCATAGTGATTATTATAAACAGGCCAACCATTTATCTAATAAATTGATCTCCAAAAAAATATGACAGAACTTCTTTAGAACAAGAGACATCCAAAATTGGAAAATTAAATAGAAGAGAATTATTAGGTCAAAAAAAGAAGGATAAGATTCAAAAGGAAGTTTATAAATATTCCTTTATTACTCAATTTAACGTACTACATTATGAGATTAAGAAAATACTAAATAAACACTGGGATATTTTATTGAAGGCTCCTATTTTGGGGAGAGTACTCCCAAGAAAGGCACCAGTAATTTTTAGAAAGGCAAAAAATCAAAAAAATATACTGGCACCCAGCTATGCTTTAAAAAATCCATACAGAAACATTAAAATAGAAAATAAAAAAAGTTTTCATTCATGTAATAGATGTAAGGCTTGCAGAACACAAAGATTATTGAATGTAAAAAAATTTAAAAGCACCATAACAGGGAAAGAGTTCAATATAAAATCTAACATAAACTGTGATACTCGAAATGTAATATACGTCCTACAGTGTCCCTGTGGGAAACAATATGTAGGGCGGACTTGCAGGAAATTGAAAGAACGCATTTTGGAACAGCAAAACAATATTCGAAAAAAATTTAATAAACATATAGTCCCTATTCACTGTAATATGTGTAAAAAATTTAATTGGCAAAATTTCTATTTTTTAGTGATTGAAAAAGTAGAAAATTATTGGTGGGGTGGAAACCTCATTAAGAAATTGGCCCAAAGGGAAACGTATTGGATTAATGCACTAAAAACTTTGCAACCAAGGGGACTAAACTTAGATATTGATTTATGGTGCTTTTTAGATTAAAATCAGTCCAGTGAAGCCTTATATAGTGTACCAGTTGCACTTTATTTGATCTTTATCTCATAGTGTTGGAAATCTTTGGAATAAGATCTTCAATTTATATTTTTATTTTTATCTTTTATTTTATTTTTTATTTTTTATTTACATATATATTCTTAAATTTTATTTTATATTTTGAGTTTTCTATGGTCTTTGTATCTGAGTCCTTCAAATTCTCTTTCTAGTTATAAATATGTAAGGAGCCTCTCCTCGCAACCATATAAGAGGAAAAAAAAAAAACCTTTATGTTTGTATGTTTTCATAAATTATAGACATGAATAGAAAAAGATATAATTGAAAACTGATACACAATTTACTGAAATTTATATATAAAATTTATGGAAGATTTGCACATTTAAAATGGATACATAATTAAGGAAAGATACATTGAAATATATAAACAGAAATAAAGATCTTTTTTGAGATTTGACATTTAATAACAGATTTTGACATTTCTAAATTATAGTCATGAAAACATTTGAAAATATGAGAGGTATTCCCTAAAAAAAATTTTATGCATGGTTGCTTGCAGAGACTCTATTGCTTTTGGCATATATAAATGGAGAATGCATTCAGAATTAATATAAAGAGGAAATGTGTCCAAAGAATTTTTTATATGTTTGTATTTTCCCTCCCATGCCTTCACCACATATAATACATTAATTCTAAATGATCCTAATATGATGGAATGGATGTGGTGCATAAAGAAATTCAGCACCCATAGAAAACGGCTGTGGAACTCAAATGGAACGCAAGTGGAACGCACGCCCGACGTCCGGAACGCAACGTGATGACGTCATACACCCAGGAATTCAACCGGGAGCAGCTTGAAGACACACATGAGTGGACTCATCTAATTATGGGGTGTATTTAAGGGGGAGAGTGGTTTTTGTAATTTTTATTCATTGTTTACCTGTCAACATTATTGTAAAGTCCCTGAGGAAGTCCCTGTAGTGGGAAGAAACTCGTTGGACAGATGGTGGACAGTTTTTTATGGAATTTTATGCTGATTGATTCTAACTTATGTGTAAGTAATAAATATATTTTTTACTTTGTACACATTTTTCCACTTTTCATTTTGGATGCATTTTATCTCTTTGTATTATTGAGACTTGGAAGTTCATGCATTGGAGTAAGAACACTACCTGAGAGCTACATAGATTTTTGATACGCCTTATTCATTCAGTCAAAGTGTGAGTGATCCATTTGGCTAATATTATTACTGTAGAAGCATCATACGGAGTTGCACTATGTTATTTTTTGTTTCCCTATAGTTGGATTGACCCTAATTTGTATTTATACATATATATTTGTCTGTTTTTCAACTGTGAGTACTCTTTCATTATCCTTGAATACTTATTACCCTTTTTTTTCTCCTCTGGGTTAATCAACCCTCCATTTTAGGTTTACATTTCCATAACAAATTTGATATTAGTGCCAGTTCTAAATACACTTCAACATGCCTGGTGACAAAGATTTACACACTCCTTCTGGGTCTCACAACCCCAATCTAGGGCGTGTTAAAACACCCACAGGGGTATCTGAAATTGGAGCAGTTATTCCCGTTGAATTTGATCCTACTGCTGATATCCAGTCAGGGCCGGACTGGCCCACCGGAAGAAGGGACAGACACAGGGAAAGGGGGGAGGGAGAGAGAGGGGAGAGACACAGGGAAAGGGGGTAGGGAGGGAGAGGGGAGAGACACAGGGAAAGGGGTAGGGAGGGAGAGGGGAGAGACACAGGGAAAGGAGGGAGGGAGAGGGGAGAGACAATGGGAAAGGGGGGAGGGAGAGGGGAGAGACACAGGGAAAGGGGGTAGGGAGGGAGAGGGGAGAGACACATGGAAAGGGGGAGGGAGGGAGAAGGGAGAGACACAGGGAAAG